AATACAACTCATAAACTTTTGAACACGTGTCTGCTGAACAGATGCACCCCCAGCACATACAACTCCCAAGCACAGCTCACACACACACACCTCCTATCAACCCACACACATTGTGGACATGTCGTGAACACACATAGACACCTACTAAATATAGACCTTACACATACACCCCTCCTAACTATAGACACCTGTTTAACACACACACACAAACACCTGACAAAGGTCCCACGTATATCCTCGAACAGACTGTTGGGGCAAGCGTACACCTGAACACACATGCACATATATTCTTAAGACACACACCCCTCCTAACCACAGGCACCTGAACAGACATACACGCACACCCTGTTGAACCGCCTGTGCAGTCTCACACTCGGAGCGACCTGCGCACCGCACGCGCACGTGACCCGCATGCGTCGCTCACCTCTGCTGGGCGTGCGCTGGGCATCGTGACACATGAGCACTCTGAGCAGGACGAGTGCCGGCAGCCGGAGGAGCATGGCCCGCTGACCCAACCTCCGCCACCGTTCCCTCACTCCTTCCCTCCCCCGCGCACGCACGGCCGCTCACCTCCGGCTCGCGCACACCGCATCCCCCAGACACACCGCCGTGCCCGTCTCTGGCGGCTACGCGGCGTCGATATTTGTGGCGAGGACGACGGCGGTGCGGACGAGCGCCTGGGCTCTGGCGGGAACACAGGGCGGACGCGCGAGAGCGAGCAGCGCGGTGCAGCCGGGACCTGTCGAAACTCGGTCACATTGGCTGGCACCGCCAGCGCGGCCGCCCTACCCCACCGTGGTGGCGGCGGCGGGGAGGCACGCCGAGCGGCCGGGTTCGCGACCCCCGCGCCGACGCGGCGCAGGACGCCCGGTACGGGCTGTGCGTGTAATTGTTCTAAAATAAGTGGGAGAGGAACGCTCTGGCTGTTTACAGGTCTCCAGCAAGCAAGGGTATGTGCAGTCCGAGCCGGAGCCTCGGAGCTCCGATCCGTCTCCGATCTGCGTTCCCACCCCCCCCCCCCAGAGATCCCGGACTCGATCTCGCGAGCAAGCCGCTCACTTCAGGTGGGACGACAGGTTCTTAAAACCGACTCTGTGCGACGCGTGCGACTGCGGAAGTGCCGTGGCCTCTGTGACGCAGCCCTCGTGCTGTACCGGAGATTCCATGGGGATAACTCTTTGGTTCGTTCGGTAAAGTAACGTAGAAAGAAATTAAATTAAATAATAATAGAATACGACGTTTCGATTGCAACACAAGCAACCATCATCAGGTACAAATGAATGAGAAAACAAACAGTAAACTTAGGAATATAATGCAATACAACACAGAGAGTCGGCCAACCCAACAGTCAACACCCCACCTGGTTGATTACGTTCTTCCAAAAATTGATCAATTTGAGAGAGAGACAAAACATAGACACGGAGACACACAGACAGACACACAAGCAGAGAGAGACTCACACAGAGACAAACAAAGAAACACGCAGTTCAACTCCATGGGGAGTTGAACTGCTTCCAATGGCTCGCTTACACGCCCATGGTGATTGACTGAACTTTTTATCCCAGCAGCCATTCCAGTTTGGAGGGATCGACCCCCAGAGGTGGACACCTTGATTTTTTGTGGTTACAGGTGGTAGTTCGAGGCGTGGGTGCAGATGAGGATTGGGTACACGAGACAATGAGAGGAGAGAGTTTGTTTATGGAAAGCTTTGGGAGCTTTACTTAATCCAGTTGTGACAAATGCTTATTCACTGCCGCCCTGTGTCAGCAATCAGTTAAATAACTTCAGGTTTTGATTTATGCAGTCTAAAAACACTCAGACTATGAGTGTGCCAGATATGATGGCCTCGTGAATATCATTGTTTCATGTGTAAATTAATAATATTTTTCCAATAAATAAATTGCTATATCAACACGTGTACTGTATTCATTCCTCAATTATTTCCTATGAGAACAGTGAAACATTGTTAATGCTTGTAATTTTACTGAACTACTCTCAAACTCACTGCCAACAAGTTACGATTAATCTTTCAGATAAACCACGTTAAGAAAATCCACTGGAGGGCCACGGCCGTTCACCTGTGCAATGCTACTGCACAGACTCAAGTTCCCATACCGAGTGGACAAAGTCACACCACGACACACACATGACATAAACCCCCTACCTGAAACCTCACAGCAAGTACACATGATTCACATGACACTCAGCACACATACAGCATCTAAATACAATTGAAATTGCATCTCAAGGGACACGGAGCAAGCCAGGCTGGGAATTCCTCATGCACTTGTACAGCCCACGTTTATGCGCTCCCACATTGCCCAGGGGCAGCGCGGTCGCCCCTTGTTGTAGAACCCAGTAGCTACCTTCTTAACACTGCAGGCGTTGTATTAAACATGAAGACATGCATCGTCAGCAGCGCAGTGGACGTTAAATATCGCATGACGTCATTTCCAAGAGTAGGCCATTGTGTGATGTCACAGTAACCTGTCAATTACTCAATTTGAATATACACAGCAGCAATCATTATCTCCCTCTGCGAAAACTTAGCAGGATCCTCCTGAAAATGAGTCATGAGATTCTATGAGGCTTTTTGAGAATAATAATAAGCTGTATGAAAATGCCGGAGGTTTTCTGATTGAACTCTGAGGTGTATCTCTCCCGCAGGGCTTAGTTGGGTGGCACACTCGCATCTCGGGACTCCAGGCTGAGGAGGCTATGAACTGTAACCTGGGATTTCCAGTCTCAGGTAAAAACGTGTCATGCAGGTGGAGTAATTGAGTAACTGCAATATGCTGGCAGTGGCTTCATCATCAGCGTTCCCTCAAAGGGACCCAGTGACTCACACAGAGACCCATGAACTCACATCGAGACCCATAGACTCACATAGAGTGGAGAAGGTAGCTCCCTCAACCTGGAACCTCGAGTCACCACTACGGGTGTCTCGACCCAGGAGGTAGACACAAGCCGCCACACGAGCCGCGTCGAGCGGTAGAATTCCTCAGGAACAATGCCCTTGCACGCTAATCCGGCTCAATGTCAGCACCGCCACATTAACCACAGCAAGCTTCACACTGTACCCATGCTGCGCTCGGTTATATTAAATCGCTGCTCATGGCCTCGTCTGTGATTTGGCCGATGGTGTCACAGGTAGGCGCATACCTAGGCTGTGTGTAACCAGGCTGTCCATCACAAGGATTAAACTTAATAAAATGAGAAAATAAGACTTTCAAATTGCAGTTCAGATACCTGTAATAATTATAATTTACGTTTTATATCACGGAGAGCCATACTGAGTAACAGTATTCTTTTTAAGGATAGTCCTGCTTCATTAGGTTTTTACTTTAAGATGTTTTAGCCAACGAATGAGTTTTTATACAACTGGAGCAAACCGGAGCACCTGGAGAACATCCACACAACACTCTAGCCCCAGAAAGATGGAAACGAATGCCGATAGTCCGCTTGCCGTATTTCCTTCTTCTGTCGAGCCTGGGGTATGGTACCCCCTCGACACTCACAGGAAGGGAGTTTCACAACTTTGAGCTGGATTACTGGCGTGCACTGCCACCACCAGCCAACTACTGCATCGATGTTGCATTACAATGAGTAAGAGGACAGTGATCTGGCTAGAGTTCCATGATGACATGCCTGATGCACAGGCTGGGGTCCGCAAGGTGTTTGTTGTGCCATCCTCTGACTTGGTACTTGCTTGCTCAGAGTCGGTGCCATCATTGCACAGGAGAATAGGGAAATTACATTTACAGAGAGATAACTTGCGCTCCATTGACAACCCAAAGCTGGATGTAGGTCTTCCCACACAGTCTCAGTCGTGGTGTTTGTTTGACCATTCTTCACCAGTGCAGGCTCGTGAATGTGGAAGACCTAGAACAAGGTTTAGATGTCACTCGCTTCCAGTGTTAGGCGTGGTGGGGAATCTAACTCGGCGGTTTCAAAGTGTGGTACGCTAACCACTGAGCCGTCGCTCCCACCTTTACCTTTCGTCTGTCGGTAAGTGACGTTAAGATTTCTATCTGAAATCTGCCAGTGTCACATAACAACTTGCTGCTCCAACAAAGTTCTGGATCGGCGTGAGTGGCCGTGTGCGTAGCGTTAGAAATAGCATCGTACAGCGGCGAGGTGCACTGCCGGCACTCCGAGCTGGTGTCACAAACACGTCCAGAAACATCATGGCTCCACAGCAACAGGATACGTCCATTAATCCTGCCCGTACATTTATTTTGAGCACATGGCTCCCTGTGTTTTTGCCGGGGCGCTTCCTGCATTGCAAAAAACAGCTCCGCAAGCTGAGATTCCCGTTGAATTGCGCGAATCGTGACCCACCCGGCAATTGCCATGCGCATCACGGTTCACGTTTGCTGCCGGAGAGGCTGGCCCAACGGTAGCCACGGTGCGTAGCGGTATTGTGACCGTGTGCACGAAGAGTGATGGTCTCACACCTTGAAAAAAAAAGTCCGGCCCTGCTCTGTAAATTCTGTAGCCTACAATCACCTGACCTAAAGGAAAGATCCAAGTGGAGCTTTTAAAGATGAAGCAATACAATACAAAAGCACATGGGTTTATATAATTGTCTCAATGCGACCTCATGTCAGTGGCTCACATCTGTACTGGAGCATCCAGATTTCCTTGTCGTACGTGTTTCTATACATACATCTATGTGCATCCGTGTAAAAGTTAGCGTACTGCACTACAAACCCAGCAATCCGAGTTCTATTTCTGCTGATGACAGATAACAGCGGTGAATATTTTAACTGGTCCTGAGCCTCCCCTAGGTCTACTAGGCCTTAAATGAGTTTCTGGTGCAGTGTGTAAATATCACCACTGGGGAGATAAAGCCGGCCATGGGCCTGTGCCGTGCCAGTCTACACAGGTACCAGCCAACAGCACTTGCCTCAACGGCTTGTTAAAGGCTATATGGGGGGGGGGTTCTTTGTTTTGTACGTCCATGGACGTACGTACGTGTGCGTGCGTGTGTGACTCACGTCTCCATCGTGGCGTGTCGTGGTCCTTGCTATGTCGCGTCCGCAGCTGCCGCTTGTCACGCCGGGCGTCGTTCACGCGGATCCGTGCCGCCTCCTTCTTTGCGAATTCTCCCAGCTCCTGCGTGTACCTCCCATACATCTGCACATGCACACGAGGGCCTCATCGTCAGAATCTTCATCACCAATGCCATCGTCATCATTGTTGTAACCATCATCATCGTCGGTCATCATCATAATCATCGTGTATTGCAGGCAGGTAGCAGATGACATGGGCAATATAAGGCAGTGCAGCAAAATCTGCCATTGTACAGTACTATGCTCCCACGCCTATCCTGCCAGCTTCACAACAACCTGGGCTGATCAGCGGAGTATCGTTGGTCAATTAACTCACAACTAGCATGGCATGGGAAGACCTTCATCCAGCAATGGATGTACACGCAAAACATTGTCACATATTCTTTGGGTCTTTCGGTAAAGCCACCGAGAGACCCAAAGGATATGAATTCCTGCAGTCACGAAAGCTTTAATTGAAGATTTTTGTCACAGATTCCTAATTGGCCGCTTATGGCCACGTGGTCAAATTCTTCACAATGCTAAAGCAGCCATGTTAGTTTTGTTGAGGCTCCCCTGATTGGCCGACACTGCTGCTGTCAACTGTGAGCGCAGCTCAGTCTGGGCCTAAAACATAGTCATCGTTAAAGTCACGTTAGAAAGAAAATAAAATAAATAATAGAATACGACGTTTCGATTGTAACACAAGCAACCGTCATCAGGTGAGAATGAATGCAAGCTCGGAGAGAGACACATATACAGAGAGACAACACAGACACGGAGAGAGACACATACACAGAGAGAGAGACGCACAGAGAGAGAAACAAACGCACAGAGAAAGAGACACAGAGAGACACACATGGGGGAGAGACACATAGAGAGACACACACGCAGAGAGAGACACACAGAGACACACAGAGAAACAACGCCGCTGTGACGAGGCATTTATATAGAGAGAGGGGAGGAGGTGCAGAGAAATTAGCATGTCATTGAGAGCGGCAGGGGGAGAGAAATTTGAAGTTTGAGCAACCTCTACGAGGAGGATTTCCACACAACTCACACTTAACTTCAAATTTAGCATTCTTTGGAAGAACGTAATAAACCAGGTAAAGTGTTAACTGTTGTGTTAGCCGACTCTGTGTTGCATTGGATTACATTTCTAAGTTTACTAGGTTTGTTTTCTCAAACTTCCAATTTCTCTCCCCCTGCCGCTCTCATTGACATGCTAATTTCTACCATTGGAACCTCCTTTGCTAGTAGCAAAATATGATAATTGTTTTTTTACCCTTTTATCTGGCAACAAAACTGACACCATTTTTTTTACAAGGAGTCATGTTTGCATTGACCACAATACCTGCGGTCGGAATGCAAACAAAAAACATAACTCTGATAATGTATGGGCGTGCGCCTTCTGGCGTCATCTGGTCCAACACCATGTGAGACTAGGCTCTAAGGAAAGCTGTCTCGGGTGTGGACCAATCAATTTCAAGGACAGTGCATAATACATTATCAGAGTTATGTTTTTTTGCTTGCATTCCACCCGCAGGTATTGTGGTCAATGCAAACATGACTCCTTGTAAAAAAGGTGTCAGTTAAAAAGGTGTCAGTTTTGTTGCCAGATAAAAGGGTAAAAAAAACAATTATCATGATAATTTCTCTGCTCCACCCCCCCTCTCTATATAAATGCCTCATCACAGAGGCGTTGTTTCTCTGTGTGTCTCTCTCTCTGCGTGTGTGTCTCTCTATGTGTCTCTCCCCCATGTTTGTCTCTCTGTGTCTCTCTCTCTGTGTATTTGTCTCTCTCTCGGTGTGTCTCTCTCCGTATCTGTGTTGTCTCTCTCTCTGTATATGTGTCTCTCTCCGAGCTTGCATTCATTCACAACTGATGACGGTTGCTTGTGTTGCAATCGAAACGTCGTATTCTATTATTTATTTTTTTTTCTTTCTATGTTACTTTACCGAAAGAACCAAAGAGTAATTCCTGCAGTCACGAAAGCTTCAAATCAAGTTTCATAGTCATCGTATTTCTTCCCTGCCACGTGATGGGGGAAATGTGCTTCCAGATGCAGGAGCAGCACAAAGTTCCAAAGTCAGAGTAATTTCCTCTTCAAATGAACATTGAAGCATTGATACTCATCTCTTGTTTACAGCCCTGCAGAACCAATTGTGGAAATGCCACATTTCTCTGGTGAAGCGAGTCTGCTTAGGAAATCCGCTGATTTTCCCACACAGCGGTACCAATTTAATCGACCCCAACCAGGATGTGAACTTGCAACCTTCTGATTGTGAGCCGCTCTCTTGATTGATGAGCCAATTGGGCGGTTTAAAATTCAACATTGGGTTTATAACTCAACATTCGGTTTATAACTCCTCGTTCAGTTTAAAATTCAACATTCGGTTTATAACTCAAAGAAAAACAGCGCAAGGTCGAGCGATGCATGTAAAACCAGCAGAATATTCCACTTTGTAAAAAGCAAGTTGAACTTTCAGAGGATATAACCGGACCGAGAAAGCGGGCAGAAATGTTTAACAGAGGCAACTAACAGCTCGCCAATCACTCCGTCACTGCCTTTTGCAAAGAACGTATTGGGACAAGGGTAAGAGAAAGCGAGGGGTTGTATGCCATTCATCATCCCACCGATAGGATTAACGGGTGACGACTGGTGACTTTTTTATTTTTCTGTTTTTTTTTAAACCTTTTACATTTTTATTTTTACTGTGGGTTTTTTGCTTTTATTATTTTCAACTTATTATTTGATTTTTATTTTATTATTTTTATTTTCTATTTACGTGACTTTATCGAAAGAACCAAGAATATGAATTCCTGCAGTCACGAAAGTTTTAAGTCTAAATTTGATGATGACTGGTGATGGCTGGTAATGGATGACGCCTGGTGACGACTGGTAACTGGTAACAGCTGGTAACTGGTAGCAACTGGTAACGACTGGTAATGCGTGATGACTGGTGATGGGTGATGACTGGTAACGGGTGATGACTGGTGATGGGTGATGACTGGTAAAGGGTGACGACTGGTAATGGGTGATGACTGGTGATGGGTGATGACTGGTAATGGGTGATGACTGGTAATGGGTGATGACTGGTAATGGGTGATGACTGGTGATGGGTGATGACTGGTAACGGATGATGACTGGTAATGGGTGATGACTGGTGATGGGTGATGACTGGTAATGCGTGATGACTGGTAACGGATGACGACTGGTGATGGGTGATGACTGGTAATGGGTGATGACTGGTAATGGGTGATGACTGGTAACAACGGGTGACGACTGGTAATGGGTGATGACTGGTGATGACTGAGGAGTGATGACTGGTGATGACTGGTAACGGGTTGTTTAACGTAAATTCTCGACAGCCTCTATCTCAACACTTGCAAAGTGCACGTTGCAGAGTAACAAAAAAACACAATCAAGCAAAACAATCAAATAATAGTGCGATATTACTACAAGAACCTTTAGTTTAGGACTCCCCTCCTCTACTCTGTTCATAGTAACTACAGGTTGCTAAGGACTCCCTGCCTATATTCTGATCAGTCACTACAGGTTGCCAATGACTCCCCTCATCTAAGCTGTTCATAGTAACTACAGGTTGCCAAGGACTCCGCTACTCTACTCTGTTCATAGTAACTACAGGTTGCCAAGGACTCCGCTACTCTATTATGTTCATAGTAGCTACAGGTTGCTAAGGACTCCGCTACTCTACTCTGTTCATAGTAACTACAGGTCGCTAAGGACTCCCTGTCTCTATTCTGTTCATAGTAACTACAGGTTGCTAAGGACTCCGCTACACTATTCTGTTCAGTCACTACAGGTTGCCAAGGATTCCCCTCCGCCACCTCTCCTCTACATATGTGCCTCTATTTTGAGTCTGTCTTGACTGGAATGCATTTTTTACTCCTTTCAGCAACCATTAAATATTGTGGGATTGTCTTTAAACTTGCAAGGGCTTCAGTTTAACGAGTAAACAAATTAAACCAGGAGGCACGACCTTGAGTGGCACCCTAACGATTGATTGCTCTATTTAGAAAGAATACTCAATATTGTATACATGCAAATATTTTTTACATTGTTATATCAATTTCACAGCAGTGATGATTTATATGTAGAAGAAATAGAAACATGTGAATGGAGAATTTATCTCCTTCCTGCCTAGCGACAGAGTGAACTCTTGTCATCTTAGGGTTATGAACGGGGCGATCTCATGAACTTCAAAACCTGTGCTGCTGGCCTTCTTCTCAACATAACGCACTTATTACGCAATGCAGATACACGTGCTTTACCAAATTTTAAAGGGAACGTACAATACTAACGTAACAATAACACATTCAGAAAATTCCAGCATTAACATACTTATCAAACACACACAAGGAACACTTAAATGGGTAAGACAGCTTAAGGCTTATTGCCGCTAATCTAATTCTGCATCTGCACATTATTCAGAAGCGTATTCCACAAATTAACGCGGCCCTTGAGAGCAGGTGCCCAGAACGCCGTCCTCCCAGGGAAATGCTTTCGTTCACCTGACGGCAGCCCACGTCGCTCGTCAGGAGCGGGGGCGACGCCGCGTGTCGTACTCACGGCTCCGAGTGACGGTGCCCCGGCTGCAAGGGCTGCGGCAGGGGGCATGACCCAAGAGGGGGCACCGATTCTGGCCACGCAACCCCCGTCCAACCGCTGCCAGCGCCGCCAGCGCCGCCAACACCACCACTGCGGCGGTGGCAGTGTGGAGGCCCATCCTCGATGCTCCCCATGACGGTTCGCCATTCCCACCGTGCAGCCCCGCAGAGCCCATTTATGAAAAATTCTCAGTCTCGACCCATAATCAAAATGGTGGCTTTTTTTTAACAAGTACAGGAAGTTCTAGATTTGAAGCTTTCGTGACTGCAAGGATTCATACTCTTTGCTTTTTTCGGTAAAGTCACGTAGGAACAGCCACCTGAAGACAAAAGCTTGTGTTGCCTTCGAAACGTCGTGATTTAATTTAGTTGTTTTCTTTTCTTTTATTTACGTGACTTTACCGAAAAAACCAGAGTAAGTACAGGAAGCTTGAAACCCACCGAATAAAACAATA